TTTCAAGTAATTATAACTGCAACAATATCGAATTTCAACACTCGAATCGCGATCAGTTCCTGAACTGAATACGACGGCGATAACCATCCACGCATTCCCAATTTCTATTCGTCACCGTAATATGACTTCAAATTTAATTTTTTGACGGTGATTTGTGGAACGTGCGGATGGGCGTTGTAGTAGAGCAGGATCGATCAGTATAAACCACGACACAGTAGAATAAATAGACATTGAGATATGGTGATACAAAAACACATGACTTTCAAAAATTGTTCTTTTTCATTGGCTTTGAAGGTTTCAGATTTATATGTTTTAATGATCAGTCTAACTTCAGTTTCTTTTAGTACTGAGGAAATGTATTTATTTTACAGTCGAAATAGAGGTAAACATGCAATCGGAACCTCTGGACGAAGTCGATGAAGATCTGGAGGAGTTGAAGAAGAAAGGAAAGGAGCAAGTTCAGGATTTTTTGGAGAAATTGGTGAATGGTATGCTCGGGCAGAATGTAGATGACGCCAGCGTCACCAAAACGTACAACGACGAACTTTGTAAGTAGTAAAATATGTCTCTTAATTGATAAAGGAAGATTATTTCAAATTTTTCGTTAAGTTATATCTATGATAATAAAGGGCAATATCAAAGTCTTAAAGTTTACTAATTGTATCACCACTAATGTCACGAGCGATCGGTACTAACATGAGTAACAGTACTAACATTACGTTCCAGATGACTCTATTTTCAAGAAGTATCACGCAGATCTCAGTAATGCCTTGACCGTATTGGGAACGTCATTACATAATTCCATTTCTAGTAAGTAGTTTTCCACAACTCGATGCACTTGATATCATTTATAGCTATGCACATTTTACATGCTTACAATGGGGAATATTCCTCAATTTGGGTTATTACAGCAAATGCAAGTTTGAACAAAATAAAGTTGAGTTTAATTCATGAGTTTTTCAAATTCACTTTGAAAAGTATTCAAATTGATGTTTCAAATGTTGGGTTTTAAT